CCCCTGCCCCCTCCAGCAATACCGTCTGACCCTTGAAGTAGCCCTGATGGAGGTTTTACAAGGCTTTGTACACAGAGCCACAGGAGTGCAGTAAAGTGTTGTTTCAGGCTGACAGATCTATTTTTTTTTCCTGCTTGCTCAGAAATCCCAGACGTTTCTGCCACTCTTATGTGACCTAATGTCCCATGTGTGTGCGTATGTGGCGAGTACATGCGCCTTCTGAATGGTCGGTAGTGACCCAGCGTCCAGCTCAAACATATGGCTGCACTTGTGCAGATGAGTGACTCCAGAGCTGTTGGACTGCACCTGGTTAGGTTGCAATGGGTAATGGAGTGGGGAGAGGAGGGGGTGGATCAGGATGACTAATTCTCAGGGTGTTGACTGAAACAGCTGTGGGAACTACCCAGCAAATGAAAAGGCAGGAGTTTTAAATGGTTTTATATCACATAGCTAGTTCTTCCTGTCCACTGGATTCTTCAGTCTAACGTACAGTATGGCTCTTTTTGACTAGGCAAAAAAAAAAAGCTGCAATATGCCTGTTGGGTAAATTTCTAATGCATTGTGCTTTGACTGGGGCTAGGACGTTTGGATGAGCTGGTGCTCTTTTATGCTGTGGGGAAGCAATAGTGGACGCATTGGTTCAGCTGGACTGAAGGTGGTAGCGTGACTAGCCAGTAAGCGTAGCGCTTGCCTATGCTACAGAGCCTCTCTGACAACAGGTATGGTTGTGTCTGCAGAGAAGTCTAGTGGAGGGGCAGCATATTCTGACGGGAGATATTCTGCCAGCGTAGCTGTTTGGAAGTGTTTGGGGATTGCGAAGAATCATTAAGGAAAAAACACGAAGACCACACCAGCTGGAGTGTCAGCTCTAGACTTACCACCCGCTGTGTGGTCAGAGAAGGCTGGGGCAGAAACGCATCCAGAAATGTAGAGTTGTAGGAGTGAAAGAGTAAATGGGCTGGAAAATATTTACCTATTAATGATTTTTATTTTCAGCACAGGGTTCCAAACTGCCTTAAAAATTATGGGTCAAATCATTGTAAACTTTATTTCTGCAAAACTTGCATTGAGGTCGGTGATATGTTTGCCAGACTGGGGACTGCAAGGATTTTTCCCCGTGTATGTATGTGGCAGCTGTCTCTGGTATGCCAGAGCAGTAATCAGTCTTCTCATTAGCACAATGAAGTTGTCTAGGCAATCACTTCACTCTGCCTAAAGAATATTATCTACGGGCACAATTCCTGTTCAGAGGTACCCTGAGCTAGCTGTGAAGGCCCTAGCGGCAGAACTGGAACCAGCCTGGCTGTGTTAGCATGGCTCTAGTCCCAGGCTAATAGGTTTTGCTCAGAAGAGTTGATTTGCTCTTTGCTCAGAAGAGTTGATTTGTACTAATGCAGCTGTTGGCCTCTGCTTCTGGAATTACCACATAGAGAATGAGCTAGTTTGGGTAAGTCTCCATAGTGCTGCCTCCAGTGTTGGAGATTGAGGATGTTGTGGGTTTGTTGGTCTGTTTGTTTGTTCGTTTTTCACCCCAGTACAGATGCGCTACACCAGTGATTCCCAACCAGGGTGCCGTGGCGCGCCAGTGTACCCAAAGATCCTTTCAAGGGTGCCATGCGATGTTAGCACTGTTATTTGCAAATGCGATTCACAAGATGAACCAGGGAGGAATCCATAACGTCAAAAACATTCAGCTCTGTTGTGGTCTTTCCGAGTTCTTTGCAGCAGCAGACTTGCTCTATTTTTTTTCTGTAGCCAAAACAATGAGTGAAATTTTGAGAGCTGGCATTTTCTGAGGAATGTCTCAAGCCTAGTGAAGGGTGCCTCGGGTCGAAAAAAGTTTGAGATCTGCCGCTCTACACAGTATGCTGCAAAGTGCTCCATTTATCTGTCAGGAAAGAAAAAATCTGACTGACCTGTGTTTTCAGAGTCCAGCTGTTTTAAACTTAACACAGGCCTCAAAGCCATGTCCTCTGGCCATGAGAAA